CCTCTAATACTTGCATTTAAATATTGCCATCAAAGTCAGATGGACAAGACCTCGAGAAAATGGAATCGCAGAATTCTACAAAGGAATGCCAGCACCATGACATAGGAGGGAGGAGGAGCTCACTGATCATCCATTAGTAACAATTAGCTGTTACTAACAGGAACAAAATATTAAGACTTGTAGGTTTTAAATTATGAAACCTTGCGGCTTGAATGCGGAATAAGAGAATTCACATCACAGACCCGCCTGGGCAAACATGGGCTTGTTGTTTGTTTATTGGATTCATGAATGAGGTCAAGGGATATGCATTAAATGACAGTGTATGCTGTTGTGTAGATTGCAGAAATCCAAATGGAACAAGTTCAGCCTGAACAGCCTCTGCTTTGCCAGATCCTCTCCCTTGATTCCATTCAAGAAACAAGGCCAGGAGCTCCCTTTCATTCATTAGGAAGTGCTCAAAGGCACCGGAATCCTGCCAAGTTAATGCAGAGTGACCTCCCCAACAGCTCCACAGCAGCTCCCTCAGCATTCCTGGGTGCAACACAATGACTGATGGACATCCAGTGGCACAGAACAGAGTCCCGGTCTTCACAAGGCACCCACAAACCACAGCACATGAGTACCACAAAATGACCTCACTGATGACACTGCATTTCTGCTGGGCTCTGGTTGTTTATTCAGCCCTCCCTGACACACATGGAACAATTAAATCAACCAACAACCCAAACAACAATTCTCACCCTAAAGCTGCCGCCAAGGTCAGATGGACACAGAGTCAAGAACAGGACATGGAATTGCAGAATTGCATAAAGGAAAACACTCCCCACCTCATGACTCACCAGGCTGGGCCAGGCAAGAGATGCTGCCTCAAAAATGCCCCAAGGCCATGGGACAAGGCTGTCCCGCCCCTCCAGGAGCAGCATAAAAGCCGGCCCAGAGCCTCTCTCCCTCACACACTTCTCCTGACTCCTTCTCCTGCTGACAACCAGGTGAGCCTCCATCCCCTGACTCTCTCGCCCCTGCCACCCTCGTCCTTCTCTCTCAGCACTTGGCCCCAGTCTCAGCAGCCCTCACACATCCCCAGAGCCCCACAACAGCCTCCACACTCCCTCACCCTCCTGCCACTTGCACCCCCACACCCGGCCTCTCCCTCCTCTCTCTTCCAGGCACCCTCCACACCGCACCCATGGCCTGCAACAGCCTCTGCCGTCCCTGCGGACCCACCCCGCTGGCCAACAGCTGCAACGAGCCCTGTGCCCTGCAATGCCAGGATTCCCGCGTCATCATCGACCCTTCCCCTGTGCTGGTCACCCTGCCAGGACCCATCATGACCTCCTTCCCCCAGAACACCGCCGTCGGATCCACCTCCTCCGCTGCTCTGGGCACTGAGCTCAATGCCCAGGGACAGCCCATCTCTGGCGGATTTGGCGGCTTCGGTGGCTTTGGCCTTGGCTATGGCCGTGGATTTGGCTATGGCCTGGGAGGCCTGGGCTGCTATGGCAGAAGGGGCGGCTACATCTGCTAAGAGCCCTCAGCACCACCCCTGACACCACCAGCTCTGGGCTCTGCCAACAGCTCCTGCAAGCAAAGCACCTCGGCTGATGGTCACCGTGCTTTCACCTCACAACAGATTATTTCCACTTCTTTCTTCTGCCTCTTCATTCTTTCACATCAATAAAGTTTCCTGCTTTAAACCTTGCATGTCTCCTTATCTTTTTGTATTACAATTGTCTCACATCCTCACCCACTACATTCTAGAGCTGAACAAGCTACTGGGTGTGTGTGGAACAGGGCAACAACACTTTTGCTTACATATAGCTCAAAACAACTAATAACAAATTAGTTAGGAATAACTATAGGAATAACTGATAGGCATAGGAAGCACAGGAAGGGGCATGTTGCTGTACATGTCACACGCCCTGCAAGCTTCTACACCAAAGTCTTGGGCACACAAGTTCTCTCCTTGGCACAAAAATGGAAAAGTCTTTCCATGCCAGCACACACTTGACAAACTCTTCCTGACCAGGACTCCCCAATCAGACTCTCCATTAAAGAGAGAAACAACATCAACCTCTTGGGCAGGAGCCCTGGAGTGCAAATGCTTCAACTGCACTGCTCAAGCAAGACCAACAGGAGAACATTCCAGAACCATGGACAGGTCTGATTTGGATCTCCCAAAGTGTGACTCCACCACCACTTCCAATCTCTGATCATCCTCATAATGAAAGATTCTTGTCTTCTTTGCCCATGGAATTCCATCTCTTTTCCCTTGTGCTCTTGCTGTCTTGCCCTGCACGTGTGCACTGATGTGAACAGCCGGGCTCCCTTGCCTTCCTCCCCCTCCATCAGGGATTTGCACACACTGATGACACACCCCTGTCCATCCTTGTCCCCTGGGAGTCTCAGCTCTCTCAGCCTCTCCTCTAGGAGAGTTCCCCCAGCCCCTTTAGAACATTGCTGACCCTGAAATGGTTTAGATTAATTAAATGTATTTCATTTTCAGACTGGGGAGCCCAGGACTGCTCATAACACCTCACATGGGATGTCACCAGCTTTCAAGAGACAGAAAGAGTCACCCCCCCATCTCATCACAACACCTTCCCACTTCTTCCCTTGAACCTTGGGGTCCCTGTTCCCACCCAGGGACACCTCCTGGTCCAATTCTTCTCAACCACAACCACAAGAGAAGAAAATCATTGTTATAAGTAACTCCAAGACTTTACTTCCTGTGTGGGATGACTCCTACCAACAAACAACCCTTGGCAGATCCCCTTGCTGAGCTCCAGCAGATGTCCAAGACCACTCAGGTTTCCAGTGTTGGCCAAAAAGATCCAACCCCTGGGCTAGAGCACTGTGGATTTGCTGTCATCTGGATTTGGGATGCTGACCACAAGCCTCTGGAGCCAGCCCTTCAGAGCCTTCTCAGGCCACCACTCTGGGCACTGACACAGCCTGGACGTGCCTGGGCTATTGTCAAGGATTATGCAATGCTCTCCTCCAACAACCCAGGGAAATGTCCAATCCTCTTTCCGACAACCAGACATTGCCCAGAGAAGTGACCTCTCGGGGCTTTTGCTGGTCAGAGTGACCCTGAGTTGCATTAGAAAGTCTCTTTTCCCAGCCCAGCATTAGAAGAAGTTGTCAGGACTCTTCAGTTCATGTTCTCAATGTTGTTTATTGTTTCTTATCTATAAAATTCTTTCTCTTGGCCTGCCGAGGTCTGCTTAGCAGGAAAGACAGAGGCACTGGCCGCCACCTGGGCAGTGCTATCTTTTTTATACTAAAAACTACGTGTACAATATTTACCATAACTTTCCAATACTTATCATGTATGTTAGTCAGTGAGCTTCTACTCTAAACTAATCTAAAAGTGCCAACATCACAGCAGAAGGTGGAGGCCAAGAAGGAGAAAGGCTGGACACACCCAGATTCCTCCATCTTTCCCCTGAACCCTTATTTTAAAAACTCCAAAACATCTATTTTTCACCTCATGACAAACTAATAGTTATTCTACTTAGACTTTCATGGCTTGCAGATCTTCATATAAGGTTGGTAACTTTTTCCATGGGTCATAGTCAAACCCACAGGTGTCTTGGGCTCTGTGCCAGGATCTCTGAGCCTCCTGACAGGGGTTTTGGCCATCCAGGACAGCCAGAGGGATGTCCTGAATTCCGACAGTGACCTCAGTCCTTAGCCCAAGGAATGACCCAAAAGACCCTGGATATCAAAGCTGTAAAAGCAAGAGGGGCACCAAGACACACACAAAGCACAACCAACAGGAAAAAGATGGTTCAATGTCAGCAATTTCTAGCTGGGAGAAAAGCACGGAGGGAGGGTATGTGACTGAAGGTACAACACCTCCTACTTGGCACAGCTGCAAAATGCAGATCAGCCTGCTAGGGCTGCCAGAGAGTGGGGGCAACTCCTCCCCACATATCCACAAGCCACAGCACAGAAGCACCACGGGGTGACCAACTTACACCCCACTTCTCCAAGGATTTGGTCACATCTTGAGCCCACCCTGACAGAAGCCATAAATACCAGAATATGTTTTCTAAAACTCGCACTTAAAAGCTGCTGCCAGGGTGGGATGGACACAAACCTAGGAGAAGGACATGACACTGTGGATGTGGGGAAAGGCAAGGGATCCTCAGCTCATGACTTGCCAGGTATGGGTATGCATGAGAAGGAAGAAAAGGACCTGCTGAAGCAGACCTGTAGATGAACCTCGGAGATCATGAGGTGCTGAAACCAAAAGTGAACACAGAGACCACGAGGGGTTTGTGTCAGAGGCAGGCAAAGACCTGCAGTTGAGTGTCCAGTCCTGATCTCAAGCAAGAGAGGGGTTTGTGTGGTGCAATGGAAGACCAAAGTGTGCTGGGGGTAGTGGAACTGGAGCAATATTTCCTAAGACAGGACTTGGTGCACTTTTTCATCCACACCAACTGCCTGCACAAAGTTGCCTTAGCACTGAGTGAGGCTGGAGGAGTTCTGAGAGAAGAAAGAAAGAGCCATGTGAGGTTGTGAAGCAAGAAAACTTTATTGAGGATGAAGAGTAAAAACTCAGAAGCAGCCACTAGAAGGGAGCTGGTCTGGGTTGTGACCAGGGTGACAATCAGCAGAGCAGTTTTGCTTGGAGGTTTGGCCAGAGCATCAAGGCCTTCCTATCCTGCCATGGGAGCAGCCCAATGGAGGTGCTCAATGGTCTCTGGCTTGGGAGAAGGGGATTGGAGCAGAGGGAACTGGATGGAGCTAAAGGGGCGATGCAGAGCACAGAGAGGGAGAAGAGGGGGAGGCAGATGGGCCAGGTTTGCAGGCATCGTGGGCTGGCCCCTTGGCTGCTGCCTTTCTTGGTGCTCTGAGAGCAGATGACGCCTTAAGCTGAAAGGAACTGGAATTACAGAGGCCACTTGAGAGCCTCAGTGCAGAGTGGAATTCTCCATGCCTGAGACGAGTTCCAGGGAGTGGGTGGATGGTGTCAGGGGTGGACCTGAGGGCCCTTAGCAGATGTAGCCGCCCCTTCTGCCATAGCAGCCCAGGCCTCCCAGGCCGTAGCCAAATCCACAGCCATAGCCAAGGCCAAAGCCACCAAAGCCACCAAATCCGCCAGAGATGGGCTGTCCCTGCACACTGAGCTCAGTGCCCATGGCAGCGGAGGAGGTGGATCCGACGGCGGTGCTCTGGGGGAAGGAGGTCATGATGGGTCCTGGCAGGGTGACCAGCACAGGGGAAGGGTCGATGATGACGCGGGAATCCTGGCATTGCAGGGCACAGGGCTCGTTGCAGCTGTTGGCCAGCGGGGTGGGTCCGCAGGGACTGCAGCGGTTGTAGCAGGCCATGGGTGTGGTGTGGAGGGTGCCTGGAAGAGAGAGGGGTGAGGCAGGGCAGGGCTGTGGGGGTGCAAGGAGCAGCGATACAGGAGGGTGATGGAGTGTGGAGGCTGTTGTGGGGCTGTGGGGAGACGTGAGCACTGTTGAGGCTGGGGCTGAGCATGCTGGAAGAGAGGGATCAGGGATGGAGGAGCAGGAGGGTCAGGGGCTTGAGACTCACCTGGCTGTCAGCAGGAGCAGGAGGAGAAGGCTTGAGGAGAAGTGTGTGAGGGAGAGAGGCTCTGGGCCGGCTTTTATGCTGATCCTGGAGGGGTGGGACAGCCTTGTCCCATGGCCTTGGGGCATTTTTGAGGCAGTAACTCTATCCTGGCCCAGCCTGACATGAGGTCATGAGTTGGGGAGTATTTTCCTTTGTGATGTTCGGCAATTCCTGGTCCTGCTCTTGAGTCTGTGTCCATCTGATCTTGGCGGCAATTTTCATGGGTTGGAATTTGGCAGGATTTCACTGTCAGATGTGTGTCAGGGAGGAATGTATAAACAAGAAGAGCCCTGCAGATCTGAAATGTCGTCAGTGATGTCACTTTGTGGCCCTTGGGTGTTGTGGTTTGCAGTTGCCTTGTGAAGAGTGGGACTCTGTTTTGTGCTGCTGCATGTCCATCAGGCATTGTGCTGCACCCAGGAATGCTGAGGAAGCTGCTGATGTCCTGGGAATGTCACTGTGGAACAGCTTGGAAAGGTCCCAGTGCCTGAGTGCCATTTCTGATGGATGACAGAGAGCTCGTGGCCTTGTGTCTTGAATGGGATCACAAGATCAGGTAAACGAGAGGCTGTTCAGGCTGAACCTGTTCCATTTTTATGATCCACTTGGATTCCTCAAATTTTAATTCCAACACACTCTTACATGCAAAGCGTATTCCTTGACCTCATTCACAAATCCAATAACAAACAACAAACGCGCTCCGATCCCTTTGTTCCCAGGCTGTTTTGTGGTGTCAACTCCCTTATTCCGCATTCAGACCATCAGGTTTCACAATGATTTATATCCTGTAAATCACAATATTGTGTTCCTTTGAGCAAAACCCAGTAATTGCTACCTGATGGTCAGCGTGCTCCCCTTTCCCTCTCTGTCATGATGTGGGTGTGCCTTTATGGAATTCCACCATTCCACATCCTTCTCTTGAGGCCCTGTCCCTCTGACCTTGAGTGCAGCTTTTGAGTGTGAGTTATTGGTGCGTGAGGGTTGGTGGAATTTGGGAGGGTTGGCTCTGAAGGTGAGTGTCAGGGAGGGCTGAATAAACAACCAGAACTTTGGGGAGGTGTGGTTGCCATTGGCAAGGTCACCCTGTGGCCCGGGTGTGCTGTGGTTTGTGGGTGTGCTGTGATGAGGAGCCCCATTCCCTGCCAGCCCTCTCAGGCTGCTCTGGCATTCGCGGCTGTGCTGGAGCTGCCGCCCCTTCCCTGACATTCCATTCCTTCCCACCTTGATCCCACCTGGCTAAGCCTGACACTGGGCCTATCCCTTCCTGTGGACTGCACTCTGTGGGTGCCTTAGTGCCCCTCTTGCCTTTAAGGTTTTGGTATCCCGGGCCTTTGGGGTCTTTGCTGGGGCTGAGTGCAAAGGGTGCAGCCACTTGGGATGGTCGGAAAGAGGATTTGGAGGTTGCTCAGGATTGTTGGAGGAGAGCATTGCCTGATCCTGGACAAACAGGCAAGTCTGGGTTTTGTCAGTGGCCTGAGAAGGGTCTGAAGAACTGGACCCAGAGGCCTGTCCTAAAATCCAGATAGCAGCAAGGCCCAGGAGTAGGATCCTTTTGGCCAACCTGAGTGGTCCTGGCCATCTGCTGGAGCTCAGCAAGGGCATCTGCGCAGGGCTGTTTCTTGGCAGGAATGAGGATGTCATCCCAGGTAGGAAGGAAGATGTGGGTATCACTTGGATCAATGGCTTTCTTTTCCAAAAGGTCTTGGGGGTTGTGGGTGAGAAGAAATGGAGCTGGAGGTGTCCCTGTGCCCTTGTGGGAAAAGGGAAAACAAGGTTCCAGGAATGATATGGAAAAGTGTTGGGGTGACGCAGCCAGAGGTGTCTGTTGGTGTTTGCTCAGCACTGGTGAGGTCCCATGGGAGGTGTTGTGGGCAGTTCTGGGCTGCCTGGTGAGAGGAGCTCAGGGTCACCCAGATCCAAATGGGCCTGAAAGATGATTCCTAGATGAGAAACGGAGAAAGCCAGGGACTGCCAGGGGACAAGGATGGACAGGGGTCTGTCATCAGTGTGTGCAAATCCCTGATGGTGGGAGATGGAGACCAGGGATCCTGGCTGTTCACAGCAGTGTACACGTGCAGGACAAGACAGCAAGAGCACAAGTGAAAAGAGATGGAAGTCCAAAGTAGCCAAGAATCTTTCATTATGGGGATGATCAGCGATTGGAAGAGGTGGTGGAGTCTCAATCCTTGGAGATCCAAATCAGACCTGACCATGGTTCTGGAATGTTCTCTTGTTGGTCTTGCTTGAGCAGGGCAGTTGCAGCGCTTGCACTCCAGAGCTCCTGCCCAAGAGTTTGATGTTGTTTCTCTCTTTGCTGGAAGGCTTAGGGAGTCTTGGGCAGGAAGAGTTTGTCAAGGGTGAATGGTCATGGAGTGACTTTTCCATTTTTGTGCCAAGGAGAGAACTGTTGTATCAAAGACTTTGGTGTAGCAGTTTGCAACGTGTGTGATATGTTCTGGAAGGCGTCCCCTCCTCTGCTTCCTATGCCAGACTTCATTGTTTACCTGTTTTGTACATGTTGGGAAAGTGTTGCTGTCCTGTTCAAGGTATCCTCAATGGTCTGTTGAGTTCTTGAATGCGGTGGGTGAGTATGTGCGACCATTAGAATGCAATAAGATAAGGAGACATTGCCAGTTTGATGCAGCAAAACTTTATTGATGAAAAAAATCTGAAAAGTTAGGCGAGAGAAGTGGAAACAATCTGTTGTGAGGTGAGAGTACGGTGACCATCAGCTGATTTGCTTTGCTTACAGGAATTGTGGCCACAGCATGAAGGTCATGGTGTCAGGGGTGGTGCTGAGGGCCCTTAGCAGATGTAGCCACCCCTTCTGCCATAGCAGCCCAGACCTCCCAGGCCATAGCCAAATCCACGGCCATAGCCAAGGCCAAAGCCACCAAAGCCACCAAATCCGCCAGAGATGGGCTGTCCCTGCACACTGAGCTCAGTGCCCACGGCAGCCGAGGAGGTGGATCCGACGGCGGTGCTCTGGGGGAAGGAGGTCATGATGGGTCCTGGCAGGGTGACCAGCACAGGGGAAGGGTCGATGATGACGCGGGAATCCTGGCATTGCAGGGCACAGGGCTCGTTGCAGCTGTTGGCCAGCGGGGTGGGTCCGCAGGGACTGCAGATGTTGTTGCAGGCCATGGGTGTGGTGTGGAGGGTGCCTGGAAGAGAGAGGGGTGAGGGAGGGCAGGGATGGTGAGTGGCAGGGATGCAGGAGGGTGATGGAGTGTGGAGGCTGTTGTGGGGCTGTGGGGAGGCGTGAGGGCTGTTGAGGCTGGGGCTGAGTGTGCTGGAAGAGAGGGGCCCGGGGTTGGAGGAGCAGGAGGGTCAGGGGCTTGAGGCTCACCTGGTTGTTGGCAGGAGCAGGAGGAGAAGGCTTGAGGAGAAGTGTGTGAGGGAGAGAGGCTCTGGGCTGGCTTTTATGCTGGTCCTGGAGAGGCGGGACAGCCTTGTCCCATGGCCTCGGGGCATTTTGCAGGCAGCAGCTCTTGGCTGGCCCAGCCTAGCATGAGGTCATGAGGTGGGGAGTGGTTTCATTCATGTCATTCTGCAATTCCATGTCATGCTCTTGAGTCTGGTTCTATCTGACCTTGTCGGCAGCTTTCATGACTTGCTGTTTGGGTAGATTTGATTGTTCCATGTGTGTCAGGGAGGAATGAATAAACAACCAGAGCCCAGGACAGGTGCAATGTCATCATTGAGGTCATTCTACGGCACTTCTCTGCTGTGGTTTCTCAGTGCCTTGTGAAGTTTCGGACTCTGTTCTGTGCCACTGAATGTCCATCAGTGGTTGTGTCACCCTGGAATGCTGAGGGAGCTGCTGCAGAGCTCCTGGGGAGGTCACTCTGCAATAACTTTTAAAGGTCTCAGTGCTTGAATGAAAGAGATCTCATGGTCTTGTGTCTTGAATGGGATCAACAGAGAGGAACTGGAAAACAAGAGTCTGTTCAGGCTGAACTTGTTCGCGTGTTCTGGTTCATTTGGATTCCTTTAATTTGTACAACAGCATATACTGTTCTATAAAGTGCATTTCTACACCTCATTCAGAAATCTAAGATTGAGGAACAAACCTGGTCTGATCAGTTTCTTACCGCAGCTGGTCTGTGATGTCAATTTCCACATTCTACATTGAAGCTGTCATGTTTCATAACTTTTATTCTGCAATCTTAATTTTGTGTTTCTGTTAGAAAAAGCCAATAATTGCTAGAAGAGGGTCGGCAAGGTCCTCTGCTCTCCCTGTCAAGGTAGGGGCAAAAAACCAGGACAGGATTAGGAAAAGCAACATAAGCAGGTGGAGGGCTGTGTCCATCCTTTCACCCACCATTTTTGGGGCTCCACAGTGGATCAAGGATCTGGACATGACTGTCCAAGAGCAGTGCAAGGAGATCATGACAATGATGAAACTGGAATATCCTTAAAAGGAGAAGCTCAGAGAGATGGCAGTTCTTTGAGGCAGGAGGCAAGAATGTAGATGGGACATATGGTCAATATGCCATGGAATGATTTCAGTGATGATTTCCCAGTTCTGCAAAGCTTTGGTTGAATCTTCTGCATGTCCTGACACATGCTGTCACCAACGAGATAATGGTGACTAATTCTCTCCATTAAGAGTTGCCACCACAGTCAAGTGGAAATGGCCCCAGGTGGTGGTCATGGAGTTGAAGAGTTGCAGTGAAGCAAACATTGCCCATCTCATTACTCACTAGGCTGGGCCAGCCAAGAGCTGCTGCCTCAAAAATGCCCCAAGGCCAAGGGACAAAGCTGTCCCGCCCCTCCAGGACCAGCATAAAAGCCGGCCCAGAGCCTCTCTCCCTCACACACTTCTCCTCAAGCCTTCTCCTCCTGCTCCTCAGGACAACAAGGTGAGTCTCAATCCCCTGACCCTCCTGCTCCTGCACCCCTGGCCCCTCTCTTCCAGCACACTCAGCCCCAGCTTCAGCAGCCCTCACGCCTCCCCCCAGCCCCACAACAGCCTCCACACTCCCTCACCCCTCATGCATGCCCACACCCCTGCCCTACCACACGCTTTTTCTCTTCCAGGCACCCTCCACACCACACCCATGGCCTGCTACAACCGCTGCAGTCCCTGTGGACCCACCCCGCTGGCCAACAGCTGCAACGAGCCCTGTGCCCTGCAATGCCAGGATTCCCGCGTCATCATCGACCCTTCCCCTGTGCTGGTCACCCTGCCAGGACCCATCATGACCTCCTTCCCCCAGAACACCGCCGTCGGATCCACCTCCTCCGCTGCTCTGGGCACTGAGCTCAATGTCCAGGGACAGCCCATCTCTGGCGGATTTGGTGGCTTTGGTGGCTTTGGCCTTGGCTATGGCCGGGGATTTGGCTACGGCCTGGGAGGCCTGGGCTGCTATGGCAGAAGGGGCGGCTACATCTGCTAAGGGCCCTCAGCACCACCCCTGACACCACCAGCTCTGGCCTCTGCCAACAGCTCCTGCAAGCAAAGCAAATCAGCTGATGGTCACCGTACTCTCACATCACAACAGATTATTTCCACTTCTTTCCCTTGCCTCTTCACTCTTTCATATCAATAAAATTTTCCTGCTTTAAACCTGGGATGCCTCCTTACTTTTTGTATTCCAATGGTCTCACATCTTCGCCCACCACATTCTAGAGCTGAACAAGCCACTGGGACTATGTTAAACTGGGCAACAACACTTTTGCTTGCATATAGCTCAAAACAACTAATAACAAATTAGTTAGGAATAACTCATAGGCATAGGAAGCACAGGAGGGGACACCTTCCAGAACATGTCACACACCTTGCAAACTGCTACACCAAAGTCTTTAAAACAACAGTTCTCTCCTTGGCACAAAAATGGAAAAGTCTCTCCATGCCTGTTCACACTTGACAAACGCTTCCTGGCCATGACCCTCAAGCCTTCCAGCAAAGAGAGAAACATCATCAAACTCTTGGGCAGGAGCTCTGGAGTACATGTGTTTCAACTGCCCTGCTCAAGCAAGACCAACAAGAGAACATTCTAGAACCATGGACGGGTCTGATTTGTATCTCCAAGAATTGAGACTCCACCACCTCTTACAATCTCTGATCATCCTTATGATAAAAGATTCTTGGCTACTTTGGACTTCCACCACTTTTCGCTTGTGCTCTTGCTGTCTTGCCCTGCACGTGTGCACTGCTGAGAACAGCCAGGATCCCTGGTCTCCATCCGCCACCATCAGGGATTTGCACACACTCATGACACACCCCTGTCCATCCTTGTCCCCTGGCAGTCCCTGGCTCTTTCCATTTCTCATCTAGGAATCATCTTTCAGGCCCATTTGGATCTCGGTGACCCTGAGCTCGTCTCACCAGGCAGCCCAGAGCTGCCCACAACACCTCCCATGGGACCTCACCAGTGCTGAGCAAACACCAACAGACACCTCTGGCTGCCTCAACCCAACACTTTTCCATATCATTCCTGGAACCTTGTTTTCCCTTTTCCCACAAGGGCACAGGGACACCTCCAGCTCCATTTCTTCTCACCCACAACCCCCAAGACCTTTTGGAAAAGAAAGCCATTGTTCCAAGTGATACCCACATCTTCCTTTCTACCTGGGATGACATCCTCGTTCCTGCCAAGAAACAGCCCTGGGCAGATGCCCTTGCTGAGCTCCAGCAGATGGCCAGGACCACTCAGGTTGGCCAAAAGGATCCAACTCCTGGGCCTTGCTGCTATCTGGATTTTAGGACAGGCCTCTGGGTCCAGTTCTTCAGACTCTTATCAAGCCACTGAAACCACCTGGATGTGTCTGGTTGTCGAGGATCAGGCAATGCTCTCCTCCAACAACCCTGCACAACCTCCAAATCCTCTTTCCGACCATCCCAAGTGGCTGCACCCTTTGCTCAGCCCCAGCAAAGACCCCACAGGCCCTGGATACCAAAACCTTAAAGGCAAGAGGGCCACTAAGGCATCCACAGAGTGCAGTCCACATGAGGGGACCGGCCTAGTGTCAGGCTTAGCCAGGTGGGATCAAGGTGGGAAGGGATGGAATGTGAGGGAAGGGGCGGCACCTCCAGCACAGCCGCAAATGCCAGAGCAGCCTGAGAGGGCTGGCAGGGAATGGGGCTCCTCATCACAGCACACCCACAAACCACAGCACACCTGTGCCACAGGGTGACCTTGCCAATGACAACCGCACCTCCCCGAAAGTTCTGGTTGTTTATTCAGCCCTCCCTGACACTCACCTTCAGAGCCAACCCTCCAAAATAACACCAACCCTCACACACCAATAACTCACACTCAAAAGCTGCCCTCAAGGTCAGAAGGACAGGGCCTCAAGAGAAGGATGTGGAACAGTGGAATTCCATAAAGGCACACCCACATCATGACAGAGAGGGAAAGGGGAGCGCGCTGACCATCAGGTAGCAATTACTGGGTTTTGCTCAAAGGAACACAATATTGTGATTTACAGGATATAAATCATTGTGAAACCTGATGGTCTGAATGCAAAATAAGGGAGTTGACACCACAGAACAGCCTAGGAACAAAGGGATCGGACCCAGTTTGTTGTTATTGGATTTGTGAATGAGGTTAAGGAATACGCTTTACATGTAAGAGTGTGTTGGAATTAAAATTTGAGGAATCCAAGTGGATCATAAAAATGGAACAGGTTCAGCCTGAACGGCCTCTGGTTTACCAGATCTTGTGATCCCATTTAACACACAAGACCAAGAGCTCGATCTTATTCACCAGGAACAGCTCCCAGGCACTGGGATCTTTCCAAGCTGTTCCACAGTGACATTCCCAGGACATCAGCAGCTTCCTCAGCATTCCTGTGTGCAGCACAATGACTGATGGACATGCAGCAGCACAAAACAGAGTCCCACTCTTCACAAGGCACCCAAAAACCACAGCACACAAATGCCACAACGTGACATCACTTGATGACATTGCAGATCTGCAGGGCTCTGGTTGTTAATTCATTCCTCCCTGACACACATCTGAAAGAGAAATCCTCCCAAAAAGCAACCCATGAAAGCAGCCGCCAAGATCAGATGGACACAGACTTAAGAGCAGGACATGGAATTGCCGAACATCGCAAAGGAAAATGCTCCCCAACTCCTGACCTCATGCCAGGCTGGGCCAGGATAGAGTTACTGCCTCAAAAATGCCCCAAGG